TTTAGCACAAATTCATAGAGAAGTATGTGCCTAGGAGGTTTCCTCTTCCAGGGCCGACTCCAGGCACCAGCTTGTCAAGCAGGTGCTTGGGGCGGCCGCTCCGGAGAGGGGCGGCACGTCCAGGTATTCGGCGGCAATTCGGTGGACGGTCCCTCACTCCGCCTGGGAGCGAAGGACCTCCTGCCGAATTGCCGCTGCAGATCACGATCATGGCTTTTTTTGTTGTTTTTGTTTTGTTTGTTTTTTGGCTGCTTGGGGCGGCCAAAACCCTGGAGCCGGCCCTGTCCTCTTCAGATATTGACCTGACCACACAGTAATTTGCTAACGAAATCTGATGAGATCACAGCCCAAATGTGGAATGCATGCAGTTTAATCCTTGGATTTAGGGAGAGGGATCGTGTTCTTCTTAAAAAGTCTGTCAATAAAGATTAAATCCAAAGGGTAATTTCTGTTGATTTATAGTAAACAGGAATAAACAGCTGTTGATCGATTGTTCAAAGTGAAGCTGAGGTATTAATCAATCTCAAAAGCATTTATGGTGGTTATACTATAAAGCAATTCAGATTATTCAGCAAGATGGGGCATGAGCCTGCTGACCCAGGGAATTTATTATCGAATTAGGTTTTCTTCTACAGCTTTAAACTTGAACCATGACAGAAGTCAGTATCCCTGGACTCCAGTGTTTATATATATATTTTTAAATTTAAACATAGAAGCAGGCATAGATGGTCTGAGCTCAGATTACAAACCCCTCCCCCCCATACACAGAGAGCTAGATTGTAGCATTTATCTCACATCCCTGTATAGAATAACATGGAGCTGTTCTGCCCCAAGATGGGAGCTAAGAGTTCTCTATTCACATGGGCATGGGGTTGGCAATTTGTTCCACCCACCCAGATTACTCCCCACTCATGCGCCAGCCCTGCTTCATGGACCAGTACAGAGAGGAAATGGAGTCATGACCTCTGTCCCACATGGTGACCCAATCCTGGGGCAGCAGGAGCAAGCAGTCCCTGTGTTCTCCAGAGCACAGGAAACACTACGTTGGGAGCGCAAGATTGGGGAAGTTTCTTCCACAGCCTCATCTGTCTGTGCCTTGAGTGTATTGCTCTGCCTCCAAGGCCTTTTCATAGAGCTTCCCAGGGTCCCTCTGAGTTCCTGACTGGGTCTTCAGCCCCCAGCCCTGCTTCATTGTTCCACACTGTTGTGGATCCAGGTGACCTCTGGAGAGGCAGTTCACTCCCTGCCTCTTACAAAGCAGGTAGGATTTCTGAACCTTGTCATATCCTATTATACAACAAACCAGAACAGAGTTAAATAATATTTTCATATCCTTGTGAGGGGTTGAGACATCTACACTGTCTCTTCTGGAAACTGATATTTCAACAGCACCATAAACATATAATGCACTTTACAAACAAATGAAAGTCAAAGCGCAAGGTCATTGCAATCAGTTAAACAAAGATGTACATTGGATAACAGCTCAATGGCAAGGGGGTGGGCACATTACTGGTGAGGACTTCAGCACTGGATGGTTCCATGGAAGATATTTAAGGAGGAATTTGAAAGAGAAATGTCTAGTGGTGTCACTCTGAGGTGTGGTTAGGATGAATGCATTAGCAAGGGTGGGTTAAGAGGTGTATAATTGTTAAAAAATGGGAGGTCTTTAGAACAGTGATTCTTTTTTTCATTTTGCAGATCCTGTTCTTAAGATATATCCTGTTGTGTACCCCCTCCCTTCTCTATCCTCCCAGTCCTATACGTGACCTATGACAACTACACTATGTGGTTACACAGTAAAGCATGACAGTGTTACAGATACAAGATGAAAATAAACTTACTTCAAGTGAGTATGGCTGGCTGGCTATGCCCCACGGGCCCCCCCACCCTTTTCTGTACCTATGCTGTTTATTTTTTCTCCCTGGGGCTAGGACTTCACATATATTTGTATCAAATCTTCCCCTTGTTGCTGCAGACTCTACTGATCGAATCTGTCTGGGTTAATCAGAAATTTAGTTTTACCTCTCTGGATCTGGAGTAGTCCACAAATTTGCCCATGACTGAATTTAAAGGAACATGCAGCAAAGACAGACAAGAAGCACCTGCACAGCATACAGAATGATGTCTTTCCCCTCAATTCTGTAGGTTAAAAAAATCTGGGAACCCCGTATGAGTTCTTGCATGTGACACAACCAACAGTATGTGTCACTCCTTGCAGACTGACATATGCCTCAACACTATGAAAGAAGCAGTTCTATAGACCATCTGGAAGTGCTCTGAGAACCA